TTGAACGTCCGAGGTTTGTAAGAAGAAGCTAATGATACTCACCTCTCCAGCGATATACTTGATGTCCCGCGGGCACTGCGAGTCGCAGTATCCAGTCCCGTACTTGGCGCCGGCCTTGTTGGTAGGGTACTTGGCAGCGCCACCATCCGCGTCCATCTCGGAGAAGTAGAGCGCGCCGTTGAGGCCGCAGGGAAGGTTGGAGACGTCCACATCAAAGGTGAACTCCTGGTTGAGGAGCTTGAACATCTCGTACTGGGTGTCGCTGTTCATGAGATAGACACGGGAACCGACATTCTTGCCATTGGAGTTGGGCTGGACAAATTTGAGTGTGAGGGAGTCCCCGCTGGTGGTGATACCGTAGTTGCCTGCATAGTCGGCACCCTCGAGGGCGCAGTTGGCAGCACACGTCTTGCCGTCGGGGCAGAGCGTCTTGTCCCAAGTCTGGCCGGTGTAGCAGTTGTTGTATCCACCGACGCCGTGGACCCAGCGCCAGTTGGCGTCGAGAGTGATGGAAGCGTTGGACTGAACGGTGCAGCCGCCAGCCTTGGTGCACTTCTTCCAGCTCATCTTGGGGTGAACCTCTGCGGTGCTGGTGCCGACCTGCTGCGCAGAGACGACGGCGAGGAAGGAGAGGGCGGTGAGAATGAGTTTCGGGAACATTGCTGGACTGGAGGAGGAGGCGGTCGTTGGTAGAACCTGGAGACTTGTAGCGCATTTGTCCACCATTTATAGGCGGAAAAAATCCGGTGTACCTCTTCACCGCGTCAACAGTGTAGCGCACGGGTGCGGAGAGCATTTCCAATGGGTTTGTTGCATGAGGTGGGATGAAGGAAGTTGGATATTCTGGGATGATCGCAGGCGATGGCTTGTATAGGTAAGGCTCCGAAGAGTTTCCGTCAGAGTACGATTTCGAGTGATTTTCCGAAAGCCAAAGATAATTGACAAACTCCAGCACGGGGAGACCTCGGTCTTATAGCAATAGTGGCTTCATTGTGGCCCAGTGATCCTCTGCCATCCTCAACTAAGGCCCTATCGATCGTGTATCGAGAAAAGCCCAGAATCGTCCAAACAGCCACCGGTAGATCAAGACACCCAAGACCGACGGAGGCAAACACGCTCCAATGTGAGGCCTTCGAATTGAAAACAAGCGCAGGTGTCCGAGTCTTCTCTAGTGTTCTGTGCAGCTTCGCGTGGGTTCCGACGTCTGACATTTTGTCTGAAAAGGGATTTTCATTATCAGAGTGAAGAGGAAACATACATTTACTCAAAATGTGATCGTGTTCGAAGTATTGACTCTGGTCACTGGGCAATGTGAAGTGGCAGCTGACAAGGGATGCCGAGGGGAACATGGCTGCATGACCGCGTCAAGAGACCAAATTGAAAAACAGGTCCCGTTAATCCAATCATTTCGTATACGTTAACCGCGAGGCGCACTCGTTGCTTCCAGATGATACGACAGACACCGGCCTAAGAGGGTACAAGCTTCAAGTTGAAGTCACCAGAGTCCAGAGTCCAGACAACGGGCATTGAGTAAGTAGTATCGCATTGTCCGAGATAACTGCGCAGTTAGCGGAGGAACGTTTGAATTGATCCACAAGAAAAGAGCCATCATCCATATGCATGTACTACGTCGACGTCGGAAGAACGGATTTGTGCTCACCGGGTGCAATAGGGATTTTATAATTAACACAGAACTCCAGCGCGGGACGTGCAGATGGCATGCAAATATGTATTACTCCGTTTTTACTGCTACAACTACGTATATGCGTACGTTCACAAAAAACACAGGTCGAGAGAGCTCGAATCGCAGACTATAGACAAAACAGAGAGTAGAGAAAAGAGAGATCGGAGAGGGGGACACAGCGGCGGACTGACGCAGTATACAGTAAAGGGTGGGGTAGCGGCAGAGGGGCATTAGCCGGGTCCGCGGTGGGAGAAGAGTCGGACATTAGTGAGGGGGGTAAGAGACGGGGGCAGGACAGGTAAAGAGCGGACGGCGGTGGGGCGGACCACGCACGCGCCAGTTTGGTTCGGGGAGTGGACACGCTGAACAAAAAAAGGATATTCACAGGTTTAATTTGGAGTTAAAGGCCACAAGAGAAAAGAAAAGGGAAAGTAACGAGAAAGAACGGAAGATGAAAAAGAAAGGAAGGAAAGAGGCAGCGAGAATTGGATGTAATAATGAGACGGCAAACAAAAGGTGCACAACTATAATATTTATCTCGGGGGGCAGCACGCAGGGGAAAGGCAAATGGAAGGGAGAAGAAACAAACGAGGCGAGAAGCGGTGGCAGGACCCTCAAGAACAGACGCTGGCCCAGCACTCGGCGTTCAGGCGTGCAGCGTGCGTGCGTCCATGGTATGTCGGTGTCGAGGCCGGGGGTATCCAATCCGAACTATCGTTCCAGGGGTATGACTCGACCACGCGCGGACCCACTCAGGCTTATGCCTACGCCGCTGCCGCCAGTTCCGCGCCATCCACAAGCATCTTCTCCAGCTCCCCCACACTCGGCTTAATATCCTCCACCTCCCCATCCGCATTGATAAACACCGCATCTCCTCCAATCATCTCCCCGTCCTCTCCGCCAATCGCACTCACAGGCTCCGCGGACGAGGGGCCGTTGCCACTGGCGGAACGCCGGGCACCCGAGCCGCCTTGCGGTCCAGAGCGGGGCGGGTTGGCGCACCGATCCTTGCCGTGCGCAATACGCAGGTTGCCGTACTCCGGCTTTGCTTTGATGCCTTCGATCGCCTTGATAGCGTTCGAGATGTTCGTGAAGTTCACGAAGGCGCAGTTCCTGGTTATACAACATCAGCATGTGAATGTGAACGAAAGTAGTGAGAAGCACGTACTTTTCCTTGAGGAAGTTGACCAGCTCGATGTCTCCGTACTCGCCAAAGTCGCGCTTCAGCCGGTCCTCGGTGAAGGTCTCAAAGTCCTCGATGTTCCCGATATACACATTGCGTGTGGCGCCCGAGTGCACCGCCAGCGCCAGGGAGGGCGCAAGCGGGCCCGAGTTCTTGCCCCAGCCCATCTTGAGGCGGCGGTTGTTGAGCGTGAGCCCCTGGTACGAAGCAACCTGGTAGAACGTAAACGCCGCCGCGGGGTCAACGAACGTGACGAACGCGATGTGCTTGTCCGCCATGTAGCGGATGCTCTGCAGCACACCTCCACGGATCGCGTTGCACAGATCCTCGGTGGTCGTCTCTGGATGGATGTTACCAAGGTACACGGTGCGGTTCATGCCCTGCACGCCTTGGCCGGCGGCCGCGTTCATTACGTCCGGTGAGAAGGGTGAGTAGGTGGCGAAGGGCGAGAACGCGGTCTGGGGCGAGACGAGAGACTGGGCAGCGACGGCCTGTGCCTGTTGCGCAGCGACCTGCTGGGACTTGGGGATATACGCACAACGGTCCTTGCCGTAGTTGACGCGCTTGTTGGCCCAGTTCGGCTCAGTGGGGAGCGTGTTCACCACCTTGGTCGCGACGGCAATGCTGAGGAAGTGCACGAAGCCAATGTTCTTGTCGCGCACGATCTTCACCTGGTCGATGAGACCGAAGCGAGAGAGGTCGTCGCGGAGCTGCTCCTCAGTGAGGCTCTCCTCAAGTCCACCGAGGTAGACATTGCGGCTGGCGTTGCTCTGGGTGATGGCAAGAGCAACCTGGGCGGGGACGGGCGAGGGCTTGCCCCAGCCGATACGGAGCTCCTGGCCGTGCAGGGCCATCTTTTTGATGGTAGCGTCGGCATGGAACGCCGCGGCGGTAGCACCGTCGAGGAACGACAAGAACACACACGACTTTTCGGGGAGCACACGGATGGACTCGAGTGGGCCAAAGTGAACGAGGTTGAGGAGCTCGTCGACGGATGCGGTCGCGGGGAGGTTACCGACGTACACCGTGCGGCCTGTGGCGTTTGATGATGCAGATATGGCAGCTGAGAGTGCCACGGGTGAATACGCTGCGGCCGCCTGGGCGGCGGGGATGTTCAGGTTGAGCGACGGCAACCGTTGCTGTGTAAAGTTCTGCATCGGGAACTTGAGGTGTGAGCGCGCGGGAGCAAAACGGGGGCATAAAGTCAAATACCTGTCCAAAGTTGCCCATCTGGTTGTTGTAGGGGAAGCCGTTGAGCATGTTCATGCCAGGCATGCCCATCCCGAGGATGTTGTAGCCCGCAAACTGACCATAGCCGTTACCGTTGGAGTTCGGCTGTTGCTGTTGTTGCTGCTGCTGCATATTTTGCTGCTGAGCAGCAAATGCGGCGGCGGCAGCGGTGTTGGGGCTCAACTGGCCAGGCATGCCGTTTCCGTTTGTCTGCGTGTTGATAGTGAGGTTCGGCGACGAGTACAAGGGGCTGTTTGCGAAAGCGCCGGAAGGCGAGTTGGTGAACGGCGACTGGGCGATATTGGCCTGGGGACCGTAACCGTAATTTGCAAATGCATCGCGGGGCGAGCCGTTGGCTCCGTTGGCGCCATTATTCTGGCCAGTATAGGAGGAAGTGGGAGACCAACGAGCCTTTTTAGCATCAGGGCCGCCAACAGCATCCATAGACCGCTAGAGAGGACTGAGTTTGACTAGAAATTGACGAGTTCGGGTCACTGACCTTCATCATGTCTAGGTCAAAGGCGTAGGGGGGATACTGGGGCGCAAAGGCAGTCTGGGAGTCGTCCATGGGAGATATAGGTATGTGTAAACGGGGAAGAGGGTTAAAGGAGGGAAAAGCGAGTTAGAGAAAGTAGGGAGCGTGGAGCTGGCAGGCGCAAAACGAGTGTGGTGTGAAGAAAAAAGACACGCACGAAGAGAGAAAGTGCGGTATAGATATTCGATGCTCAAAAAAACGAATATTCCTCCAAATGAAAGAGAAAATCGAAGAGAAATCGAATTCTGAATGAGAGTCCACCTCAACCCTTGACAGCGCACACTCACCGCTCCGGGTTCCCACGCGCACGGACCACCCCATCAAGCATCAGCCAATCTGCCCGCGTCGCCCGTCTGGGTCGTTCCATGGGGCACATGGTGTAGTTGGTTATCACGCTCGCTTTGCATACAGTGTGCGAGTGGTCCTCGGTTCAATTCCGGGTGTGTCCAATTCGGCTGCTGATCGAAGGAAGTTTTTGGTGTCGACGGTGGCGATAGTTCATGCTTTGAGACTTGAAGCTTGAAGCTTGAAGGGCCTTGCCGCGGCACTAGATCTGTGCAGCAGGTGGGGATTTAATGCAGTGGTTGTCGTATAAATGACTTTCTCTGTCTCAACTCATCCGCAGTTAACGTTGATTTAATCAGGGCTTGCAGTGCTGCGTCTGGTGAGGTCATTTCATGTTACAGTCTCAGGGATGAAATCTGAAATGGCACCCATGATATTGATAAGAAAACTGGAAATATCAATCAAGGCGGTAGAGTTGGGTACGTCATTGCTGTGAGCCTGATAGGTTGGGGGATAGAACTATATAGTACATATATGAGAAAATTGGGAATGATAGGGATAGCAAAGGCCTGTGTATGAAGGGGTTGCAAAGAGTCAAGATTAAAAGGTCAAGAACACATCGACCAAAATTATCGGAAACCACCGGCAAGCCAGCCATTTTCAGCATAGAACCCAATCACCTTATTGTGCTCCTGGATAGCGATCATACTTCCCCAAGGATTTTTTACGGGGCCAAGTCCGGGGACAAGGTGAGCTCCAGCTTTCTGCAAAAGCTTGCCCTCCGCTTCGGCCTCTTCGCGATGGTACCCTTATTTTTCAAGGTAGTCAGTGTTAAAGGAGGGGGAATGAGTGAACGGCGATCCTTACTGTGAACACGGTTGGAATTTTTTTCTTCACCAGAAACTCTATGGTTTCTTTCCAAGATTCAGTATCAACCAGAGAGGACCCCGAATTGAACGCGGCAGCGAGATCGGGGAGAGTGAATCGGCGTCCTTGATTCCGCGCCAGCTCGTGGTATTTCCTTCAATCAAGTAGATAAATATAATCCAACAATAATAAATGTGAATCCTACGTACTGAGCAAAGAGTCCACGAATCATCTTTCGCTTCTTGCTACTGCAATTCCTGTGACGAGTCAGGGTGGATCTTCGATTTTTGCTGAGGAAATATCCCACCTGCACGTATTCATGTTGAGCTCGTAGTTCAGTCCCCTAAACCAGGATAGTTCGGGGCCGCAAAGAACAAGCTGGGGAATTAATATTAGTAGAGACACATATGGTTGCAAACCAATTGCCTTGAGGTTCTTGACAAGCGGGAGGCGATGAAAATCTCCTCGAAGATTCGGCCGCATGAATAGTCAACGTTTCCCTCCTGGTCCACGCATCGTCTGGATTCAGCTGCTCTAAAGCCGCAAGTATCGGCATCGGCATCGACAAAGCGACAGAGGCCGCGCGCAAATACGGGGCCACTTCTTCGCGAGCCACACCAAATCCTTGCATCAACTGATCAGCGTACTCGGATTCCCAGATCGCAGTTTTCAGGGACGTCCAAGCAGTCAAGTCGCGCTCGGGCGCCCAGCTGAATTCGCCCAAAAAAGTATTAGCGTCTGACTTCTCTGAGATGATAGTATTCATGATCGACAGCTCCGCGTCGACGCGGGTTGCTTGGTTCATATGGCAATGCGCCAGCCCGTCGTGTCCGTCCTTGCAGGGTTCGCCAGCGTGTTTCTCGCGGACAGCCTCCCAGTGGTGCGTACAGCAGTAGAACGCCATTTCCCACGCGTCGCAGGCCTTCAAAGTATTGATGCGGGATGAAGGAGGACCCTTGTATACCGCCTGCATGCGAATGATTCGATCGGTACGGCCACTACCGTTACGGTGGTTCAGTGGCTAATGCGAATGGGAGCATCTGCTGAAACATCGGATTGAACTCCAGGGCGTGTAGAGCCTTGCAAAAATTTTTATGCGACTTCCAGTCGGCCTTGGAAGTCAGTCATTTGTTTAGTACTCGTGTCGACGGCGGTCATCCCGGTATCAGCACACCTTTTGACAAGCTGAAAAAATGGTGCTCAGCTAATAGTGCAGTCGATGTATAAAAAAAAAGAAGATATACCAGGACCACAATATTTGATGCTTCGACATGTTGCGCATTTGCGGAGACTCAGAGCTTGACTTTCGACTTTGAAACACCTGTAGCATGCCTGACCAAGGATAGCTAATTTTGCCGGAGGCATTGCGTTGACCTTTCAAATGTTCGCGATGCTGGTTTTATTTTCTGGAAGCTTAAAGTATGGCCCATCGCTGATGGAGCTGCCAGACAAGAGTAGGGTTCAATCCGCGTCCCGACGTATGTAACGCGTCGCGTAAGGACAGTTCTTTCAAACTGACCCTGAGGCGAGGTGCGCTCAAACAAAGAAGTACCGACGGCGTCGTACTAACCAGCAAGATCCAAACCCAGTCGGGGTTAGAGCTGGTTAGAATCCACTAGATAGGCCATGCAAGCACCACTATTAGCACGGCGATGGGTGGGCACTGCCCGCGGCACCTGTTGATCCCACTTATCCCTTTTACTTATGCTTATGAGAGGTAGATACGTGTTGAGTATCCGCTTCGAATTAGAGGCTATTTGACTGCCCGTGCGCTAGTCTGAATAGCTCGTTACACTGAGCCGTTGAGTCGGTATCTGGGACAGACCTCAACAGGCTGCATTTTTCCCCTATTTGTCCCAACAGTGATTTTTTCGTGCAAAAATAAGCTTTCAAGGGAGTGAGACGCACAATTTGGCTTGGAGAATCGCTCGAAGAAACCTGGTTCATTTTTGAGTTCCGAGTCCGTGGCAAGTCACTTGAATTCCAGAACTGGCCTTTATTTTGCCTGAGTTGATTTGTTGTCGCTTATTGACGTTCCTCGATCAACGCATATAAAGTCCGCGACGCGTCGCTCATCTGAGTCCCTGACATTGTGACTCTCTTGTTAGACAGATATCTCTGCAAAAAGGATATATCTACTACTCAGCGACGGTATAAACCTGAAATACCACCAGTAACAATGCCTCCGGTAACAGTCGTCCTTGGGCAGGCATGCTACAGGTGTTTCAAAGCAGAAAATCAAGGTGTGAGTCTCCTATTGTGCACAACATGTCGAAGCGTCAAATATTGCGGTCCTGGTATATATTCTAACCTTTATCTACTGTGCTACTGAATGAACGGTATTTTTTCAGTGTGTCAAAAGGTGTGCTTATAATGGAATGGTCGTCGCCGTCACTAATGGCCGATTTGCAAGGCCGACTGGAAGTCGCACAAACCAATTTGCAAGGCTTTACGCGCCCTAGAGATCAACCCCATGTTTCAGCAGATGCTAACATTCGCATTACCCGACAAGGTTTCGACCGTACTCAAGCATCTCGAAGAAGACATAAAGGAAACCGTCTTTCGACAAAAGTATTTCCTGCAAGAAGAAATCAAGCGAAAATTCGAGCGAGTTGAACTTACGGCGGAAGAGCGCGACCTCATAGGTTGGGAACCGCGCTGTATGGCTTGGTAAGTTGAAGGGTCCCTTCGCCACATCCTTGAACACGAAACTGAACCACCGCAGTGGCCGTACCGATCGAATCATCCGCATGCAGGCGGCGTACAAGGATTCTTCTTCATCCCGTATCAACACCTTGAAGTCCTGCCAAAATTGCAAAATGGCATTCTACTGCTCTGCGCGTCATTGGGAAGCTGTCCGCGAGCGACACGCTGAGCAACCCTGCGAGGACGGACACGACGGGCTGACGCAGTGCATTATGAACCAAGCTGTCCGCGTCGACGCGGAATTTTCAATTAAAAATAATATCCGCTTGGGGGCTAACATGGGCGAATTCCGCTGGGCGCCCGAGCGCGACTTGCCTGCTTGGATATCGCTGAAAAATACGAACTGGGAATCCGAGTACGCTGATCAGTTGATGACAAGATTTGGTGTTGCTCGCGAAGATGTGGCGCCGTATTTACGCGCGGTTTCTGTTACTTTGTCAATGCCAATGACGATCCTTGCGGCTTTGGAGCAGCTGAATTCAGACGATAAATGGACCCGGAAGGAAACACTGACTATTCATGTGATCCACGTTATGATATACATCTGTTCACGCTGGTTCTGATAGCCATTTCAAACAGATCCTCGGGGCGTTCGAGGCGGAGTTTCACAACGGCCGAATCTTCGAGGAGATTCTGCATCGCCTCCCGCTTGTCAAGAACCTCAAGGCAATTGGTTTGCAACCATATGTGTCTCTACTAATATTAATTCCCCAGCTTGTTCTTTGCGGCCCCGAACTATCTGGTTTTAGGGGACTGAACTACGAGCTCAACATGGATACGTGCAGGTGGGATATTTCCTCAGCAAAAATAGAAGACCCACTCTGACTCGTCACAGGAATTGCAGTCGCAAGAAACGAAAGATGATTCGAGGACTCTTTGCTCAGTATGTCCAGTTTACTATTTACTGGTTGATTATATTTTCACTCACTGGATTGAAGGACATACCACGAATACGCCCGCAATCAAGGAAAAAAATTCACCATCCCCGATCTCGCTGTCGCGTTCAACTCGGGTTCCTCGCAAGAGTGCGTAAAATCATGGGAAGAAACCATGGAGTTCCTGGTGAAGAAAAAGATTACAACCGTGTTCACAGTACGGATCCCCGCTCGCTCGTTCCCCCCTTGAACGTTACTGATCACTTGGATGAATGACAGGGGTACAACCGCGAAGAGGCCGAAGCGGAGGGAAAGCTTTTGCAAGAAGCCGGAGCCCAGCTTGTTCCGGGACTTGGGCCCAGGGAAAAATCCTTGGGGAAGTATATTGGCCAAGCAGGAGCATGTTAGAGTGACTGGGTTCTATGCTGTGAATGGCTGGCTAGCTGGTGGTTTCCGATGATTTTGGTCATGTCCTCGAGTTTATCTTGAAATTTCCGTGCTCTAGTAATCTTGACCTCCTGCAACCCCTTCCCCCATATACAAGCCTTCGCTATCCCTACCATCGCATCAATTTTCTATATCATCCCCTGATAATCGTTGTACTTGCGGGTATGGGCCATTGCGAGCATGGCAGGTCCGAGGTCTATGTTGATTTATTTATAATAATTATTGGTTGGTTGAATATTCATATTAACTTTTAAGCTGTATAGTCGTAT